CCACCAGATGTTTACTTATTCTCCATCATTAAAACAGTATTTCACCCCCTCTCACTTGTGACTGGTGTTCCAGAACCAGAACTTCTCTGCTTTGGCTTCTCAAAGAGCAAGCTTCAATCCAGTCTTCTGCCAGAGGAAGATCAGAGTAACAGACCATGCAGAGCAAGAGAGAGGATCTGGGGGTAGGCCTACTGTCCCTTATACAGATGCTCAAACAATCCTATTTACATATTTTCATCTACCTCATTCCTGCAGATAACCTGACGCACCCAATTCCTGAGTCTTTCAGAAATTGCACACAAGGGTTTTAAACGGAGTTCATTTGTTTTTTACTGTCATTCTCTGCTATAGACACTTTGCATTACTCTTCACTTTCCAGCTTTTCAAATTGTGTTGATACCTCTCACTTAACGGCATTCTTCCCTTAAATTCTTCTCATCCTTGGGGGCTGATATCTTTTTGTTACAATTTTATAGGGTTTTCTGAATAGTCAGATGTAGATTAATGCACACATTCAAACTGTCATCTTTAATGACGAGTTTCATCTGCCATGTACCCACCATCTGGCTTAAGAAATAAAACATTACAAATACAGCTGAAGTTGCCTCTGAACTTATCATTAGCTAGGTAAAAATCATCTCACTTTCAAACATTCATTTTTGTTATTCTAATATTAGAGAAAAATTAAAGAAAAACAAAGGAAAAAATATTATTTTTTTAGTAAATGTATTGGGGCCCTGGCCGGTTTGGCTCAGTGGTTGCAGTGTCGGTCCGCGGACAAGAGAGTTCTGGGTTCAGTTCCTGCTAGGGGCACGTGCGGTCTGTCCCCGGCACCGGTTGGGATCGTGTAGGTGGCAACCACTCGATGTGTCTCTCACATCGATGTTTCTCTCTCTCTCTCTTCCTCCCACTCTATCTGAGGATGGGTGCAAAAATGCCCTCCGGTGAGGAAATAAATTAAATAAATAAATAAATAAATAAATAAATAAATAAATAAATAAATAAAACGTATTGGTGTGACATTGGTTAATAAGATAAAATAGGTTTCAAGTGTACATATCTATGACACATGATCTGTATATTGTCCAGTGTGCCCACCATTCAAAGAAAAAATGTTTTAAAAACAAAGGCTAACTGCATGGCCAGGTGGCTCAGTGGGTTGAAGCACTGTCCTGTTCACCAAAGGTTCTGGGTTTGATTCGAGGTCAGTGTACATACCTAGGTTTCAGGTTTGCTCCCAGTTGGGGTGCACACGGGAGGCAACCAAATGATGTTTCTCTCTCCCTCCTCTCTTTTTAGGGATCAAAGAAAATATATCCTCGAGTAAGGAATGAATTAATAAAATAAAGACTAATTAGAATGTTTTTCTCATTTAGCAAATTTATCTCAAACAGTATGCTAAATAGTAATAGGGGACATTTTTGTTTCATTCATTTTTTGGGGGGAGACTAAGTTGAGCTTTATTACTGACAATGTAAGATTTAATACACTCAATTAAGAAATTTTAGAAGACAATTTTCATTGGGAATATGTATGATTTTCTTTTTAACTACACTATTATTTCTGTTTTTTTAAATTGGTGATTAAAGAAAGTACTTATATTGGGGCAGGAGTGGGGAGGGGGATGTCAATGGGGGGATAAAAGGAGGGACATCTATAATAATTTCAACAATAAAGATATATTTTAAAAAGTAGCTGTTGAGGTATAATTTACATACTATATAAAACACCCATTTTTCTGGTGTACAGTTTTAGTAATTCATTAATTAGTAGATTTCTAGTAAGTTCATAGTTATACAAACATCAACACATTCAAGTTTTGGAATATTTTAATTCACAAAGTAATTTTTATTCATTAGGATTATTTTTATTACTGTTTCTCTCCCAATTTATTGTAAGCTCCATGAAAAGAACAATGCTGAGTGTTTTTGCTCATTATTATTTAAACAAAGTACCTAGCCTACTGCCTGACATATGCTAGGTAGGTACTCAACAAATACTGTTAAATGAAGAATTCGTAAAGACTGTTTCAGTTTCATATTTGGCATTTTTTTCCCTTCTTTACTTTGACTTGTTTCCTTTCTCTAGATTCTTCATATATGAACTTAAATCACTGTACTCTTTCTTCTCAGTCAATCTAGACATTATTTTGGTAATACAGACATTTTGAGTGATATAATTTCGTCAAGTATTACTTTGGAAAAATTCCATAAACTTTATGTCTATGTTATTTCTATCCTTCAAAAATACAGATGGGATGTAGCCCCTCTCTAGTCAAAAGCCATTAAAATGTTTCCATTTTTTACAGAGTAATATCTAAAGTTCTCAGTAAAACAACTGAGTCAGCTGCAAACTGGTTTATGGCCAATCATCCCATCTACATACCTTTATTCCAATCAGACTGGACTTCTTGCTCTTCCCGTAAATAAGCACTACACTTCTGTTTGTAATGCTTTCACTCTTGTGCTTAGCACCTAGCACAATACCTTTAGTAGCTGAATAAATGTTTGTGGAAGTTCACACCACTTTTCATGATCCAAGTTAAGATTTCAAAAATTTACATCTTTTATAATCTTGAATTATATTTTACTATGTAATTTTTAATTCTATACTACTGTGACTTGATATTACTATTCATTATTTTTTGGTTTTTGTTTTCAAAATTTTATATTTGTGTCATCTATTTTTAAATTGCATTAAATATTCTTTGTATCCTATATTTTGGTCAATGTTAAACATTTTAAAAGATATCTTGGCTTTTCCCCCACCACTGTAAGACTGTAGAATTCACAAAGGCAAGAACCATGTCTATCTTATTGAGTGTATCCTTAGCACCTAGGACATGTTGGTTCATGTTTAGAGTTGTCTTTAATTTTATTCTTTCCACTGCTACTAAATTTAAAAGTATACATTAAGGCCCAGCCAGTGTGGCTCAGCGGTTGAACGTCCACCCATGCACCAGGAGGCTGCTGGTTTGATTTCTGGTCAGGGCACATGCCCAGGTTGAGGGCCCAATCCCCAGTGGGGGGCATGCAGGAGGCAGCCAATCAATGTTCTCTCTCATTGATGTTCCTATCTCTCTCTCCCTTCCTCTCTCTCTTAAAACAAAAAAATCAATAAAAATCAATAAAAATAAAAAATACATTAGGTAGATGAACTTATGAGAGAACAATGAATAAAAATATATATAATAGATGGGGTTCAGTTAAATACAGCAACAGACACAGCAACTGAGTTCCTATATGAATCACAATGTTCTAAGAGTGAGATACAAACACAATTCCTGCCCTTGAGGTCTATGAAGAAGCACAGGTTAACAAATAACTTTGATCAGTGTCATAAAAGGAAGGTATAAAACGGCTTGGAAGTAGAGGTTGAGGAAATGTTTAAATTAGGTAGGGAAAGGAGGTAGGTAAGGAAATTCTATGGCAGTAAGTAAAATCCTTTGTAGGATAAAGAAACCAAAACCCAGGCAAAGTATGGTACATGCTCACAATGGGGCTAGAGATCACACAGGTGATCTAACTTCCACTCTGTGCTCTTTTCATTACACCACACGAGCTATCGATACTGTTTAGCCTTGCACAAAAGAATAATAGGAGAGGATTTAAAAAGTGAAAAATAAAATTTGGAAATTTATTCATCCTAACCCCATCTCCCATTAATATAAAAAAAAAAAATCAAGGCCTAGACAAGATTGTGAAGTTAGCCAAGCACCATGGAGTTCAAACAACTTTCTATTTGATTGGCCTGTAAAAAGAATGCACCCTAAAAGTGTTGATTAAATGGACTTTACCATGTCCCAGTCCAATCACTGCAACTTAGCTAAACAGAACTATTAAATTGTATTACACCCAAATATACATGTTTTTTTAAAAGTATTAATAGAGCCCTGGCTGGTTTGGCTCAGTGGTAGAGCGTTGGCCCACGGATCAATGAGTCTTGGGTTCGGTTCAGGTCAAGGGCATGTACCTCGGTTGCAGTTCGGCCCTGGCCCTGGTCAGGGTCCTGTGGGAGGCAACCAGTCGATGTGTCCCTCTCACGTTGATGTTTCCCTTTCCCTCTCCCTCCCACTCTATCTGAAGATAAATAGAAAAATATCCTCGGGTGAGGATTTAAAAAAAAAATGTTAATAGAGGGTCTGTAGCAAATCTTTATAAAAGGTCCAAAGACATGAATCTGGCAGGTCTCATTTGGCACTTTCCAAGAAGTGGGACCCTGACTGTAGGTTTAAGTATTAAAGACAATAGAGAGGCATTCTTCAGGGGCAGGGCTGGTGTTCAGGCTTTTCTACTTCTCTCGAGACTATCCAATTACATTTGGCTCCCAAGCAACTTTTCCATGACTAATTTGTTCCACCCTCCCCATCCCCATACATGTTGACCCCACAACCCTGACTTTGGAACATGAGAATATTTAACCCTCCTCCCCTCTTATACATTAATGAACTGGCACTCTGAATCACACATCGGTTTTGCTTAGTCAGCATGAAATAACCCCAAGAATCTACTCAGTTCTAACAGCACTGTAGGAAAATAAGTGCACTTTAACCAGTCATTGAAAAGGTGATTCAGGCCACAAATGGATTTTACCTGGCTTACAGGGAAAGAGGAAGGGGGGAGGGGGAGCAGGTGCAGGTATAAAAAGAAAATCTGGATATTTCATATAAAAATGTATATTCCAAGTTTCTCTGGAAAACTCTGAAGCTGTCAATAGTGGGCCTACATTGGCACAAAGTAAACTGGGCATAGTTAAAAAGCCATAGCTCCATTTAATATGGGACATTTGCTTTCTAATTCATCAAAGACCAACCACTTCTATTTCCCTGATTCTGAGGTCAAAAGTCAACTGTCATTTCCCATTCTGTTTGCAGTGTTTGCAATATAAACTTCAAAGAATAAAGAATATCATACTTGATGGACAAGTCCAGACTTTTAAGAAAAAAGTACAATCCATACTAACACAGTAAAACAAAGCTAGAAGCCAAGAAATCAGTTTACCTTAATCTGAGTCTGTTCAATTGACTTTTCCCATATCTGCTGATCGTATGCTCCAATCTGAAAGAGCAGGTTATTTAAATGATGCAAAGAAAATCCTTTTATTAAGGCCAAACCACACAAAAGTCATAAACTATTAAAGGGCAATATGATATCTGGAAAATGTTTATGCTGCTCAGTTTAAATAAATTATCTGTGTGATACCTGGAAAATGTTTCCACTTCTCAAGGAAAACAAGAAAGGAATAAAAGGTAAGGGATAGACAACGCAGTAAGATTGTTGACAGTATCATTCTGAGCGTGCAGATAAAAGTTTCATGTCTGAAAAAGAGCAGTTTGATCAGAAGCAAAGTTTCAAAGCCTTTCTGGCACATTGTGGATGAAGCCTGAAGAAAGGAGGTGACTTGAAAATCTTATTCGGGATCCTGGAACTGAGTTTAAAAGACCTAATAACCTTGTCCATCAGTTTTTCCTTGTATGTTTAGAGAAAGTGTGTAAGAATACCTAGGGGGAAACTAACGTGAAATTCTTTGTTCAGAAAGTGGACTTTACTAATAAAAAATACTGACATTACCTTCTTTTGGTACCATGATATAGCATCTCTCTCATTTGAGGCCATCTGTTTCTCCAGCCAGAGAATGGGATTTCACTGAAAACGAAGAAAAACTCGGGTGAGTTCAGCTGCTCATCCCAGTTTGGGTAGAATTCAAAATCCACTTCTCTTAGTCTCTCGGTGAGCTGCTGTCTGTTTCTCTGTGTGCCAGGAAAAATAAAAACAGAACAAAAGCAAGCCAAAAAGCCTTTGGCGCAGCGAGATGCGTCTCTGGGATGTTTTACGCAAGTGTGTCCATGGATGCGGGGAAGGGGGAGGGGAGGTCGCCGAAGCTGACCTGCCCACCTGTCCCCACCTGCCCCCATTCCCGCCCTCCCCGGCGTCCGGCTCTCACCTGGTGCCTGCTGCCAGGCAGGCCAGCGGCCAGGACCTTCCTCTTCAGTGGCCCGGGCCGGGCCGTGAGGCTGGGGGCGAGGCGGCGGGCCCGGCGGGCCGCATCGTCCACCCGAGGCGGCGACGCCGGCGGGGCCGTTACCATGGAGACCGCGGAGGCCGCCGCAGCCCAGGAGGCAGCCTTCCGCCCGGTGGCCGGAGGAAGACAGTCTGTTGCCACAGACCTGGCGTCCTCCAAGCCGGACCCTCGGGGTCACCGGAGTGACCCTAAAATAAGCAAAGAGTGACCTGGAGAAGGAGGGGGACAGAAAGTGAAGCGGGGTAGGGGCTTCGCTAGCCCCCAGTCACGACGCAGAAGCCAAGGCTTTGTGCCGCTGGAAGAGCCAGGTGCCAAGGCCCCCGGCCCGGGAGGCAGCCGCTTCGGGACGCCGGGCGGTGACTCAGCGGCCGAGAGCGGGGCGACAGCAGCTCCGCAGCCCCCGTGCCGCCCGCCCGGCTTCCGCTTTCCGGGTTTTACTGCGGAGGTGGCTCCGCCCCCGGCCCGGGCCTTCCCGCACTCGCCTGGGGCCGGGCTCCTGCGGCAGAGCCGGGGGCCGCGGGCAATCGAGGCCACGGGCAGCTGCCCCCGGCCACTCTGCGGTCGCCTCCCCAGAAGTGACTTTCCTGGCTATCGATGTCAGGGAGGTCGCTCCTGAATTCCCCGCTCATTTCTTTGTGCTTCGTTATTTACTCTCGGTCTTCCCCAGTGAGCTGTGGCTCCAGCCTGGCAGGAGCCTGGCACACATGTTCTCAATCTTTGCTGAATGAACGAATGTTATCAATTTACGCTGTGCTGGGACACAGGGCCTGCAGGCCGTGGCTTAGTTATTCCCAGCCTCTCCCTTTGGGATGCTCCCGAGTTAAGGGATGAGGGGGGCTGAGCCTTCGGCAGTACCAGGGCACTTTCCCAAATTAGGGTGGAGGTGGCAGCCAGAACTGTTTCCAGGTTAAGAATTCAATCGGGCTGACAGAGGTCAGGAGAAAGTTACAATTGCTCCCTAAAGTGAAGATGCAAGGACATGTCAAGGTTTTAAGAGGCTTTCCTCTTCTAGACAGTTGTGGGATTTTTTTTTTCTTAGAGAGGGGGCGATAGAAACATCCAAGTGAAAGAGAAACATCCATCAACTGCCTCCTGCATGCCCCCTACCGGGGATCCAGCCCACAGCCCGACATGTGCCCTGACCAGGAATCCACCAGAGAAGGGAGACCTCTCAGTCCATGGGACAACGCTCAATCCACTGAGACACACTGGCAGGTTTTTTTTTTCTCCGTTTGTCTGTTGTCATTAATGAAACGCCAACCCCTAACAGTCATCTCACCTCAACTGAAGCAGTGTCCTTGCTTGCCCAGCATGTGGCATTGGGTCAGGTATGATCCTAATGTTTTACAGACATTTCCAATTATCCATTAAATCGACTTCAGGTGGAAGCTATTCCCATCTTACCGATGAGGAAAATCAAGTGAGAAGATAAATGTGAATCCCACAGAGAGAATTTAAACTGACTTCACCCAGGCTTATTTTTATATTGCACATTGGCAGCGGTTTCCTTTCTGCTTTTGCTTTTTGACAGCTTTTCCCTTCTAGGCTAAACATTACATTCCAATTCTGTTGGGTTTCAAAGACAAATGGCCAACTTAAAAAAGAACCTGCATAAATGACAAATGAAAAAGTCATTTTTTTGTGTACTGAAATACTGGCTTTAAGACATAAATTACATTAATAGCAAACACATTTTTACTTCGTTGGAAAAAGGCTTTTTGGGGAATTCGTGGAGAAACCAAATCAGGTAGATCACATTAGGGAGGAGTAGCATGTAGCAAGTCACCTGTCAGGAGTATCTTTACACTTCGTAGTGTTTCCTAAGGCTGACACTTAATAAAACATGGGCTTTGAACCCAGAAATGCCTTCAGATCCCTGCTCCCACTGATGAACAAATCTGACAATTTGTCAAGCTAACAAGCCTGCTTTCTCACCTATATTATGGAGATTGTCTTACATTAAGTGTCTGGCCCACCGCAGTTCCTCAAAAACCATTAGTTCCCTTTCTTTTCCTTTACTAATCAGAACCAAAGGCTACTAGTGCTTAGGATAGGTCCCTCAAAAATAAGTTCAGCCTGGCCAGTGTGGCTCAGTGGATTGAGCATTGACCAATGGACTGAAAAGTCCTGGTTCAATTCCCAGTCAGGGCACATGCCCCCGTTGCAGGCTTGATCCCCAGTAAGGGGCGTGCAGGAGGCAGGCAATCGATTTTTCTCACATTGATATTTCTCCCTCCCTTCCTCTCTCAAAAAAAAATCAATAAAACCTTTTTTTTAAAAGCTCACACAAATACAGATGAGGGAAAAAATCCACGGCGTTGGCACATAAAAAATACATCAACAACACCTGAAAACTCTGTATACCACCCTGATTAACATTACATGCATGCACTCTCAAAAATATCGACATCAGAATAAAAATTTAAGATTGTCCTCATAAGTAGACATAAACCAATTTAAGCAGCAGGAGACACAACTGCCTCAAATGCCAAGCATGGGTTTCCTTCTTCCCCAAAACTAGTTGTATCTCAAAATGCATGGGATTTTCTCACGATACCTATGACCTTTTCTAAAATATTAGAAAATAATAGAGGACAGAGATAGATGGGGGTTATAAATACTTTAAAAACAGGTTCCAGGCAGCTTAGAATTCACATGTGCTATTCATTGTATCACGAAACATCAGTAAAGGACAAATCAGACTTTGTTTATTAAAAAAATACTTTACAGGAAAAAAAAAAAAACCTCTATGCATTCCATTGTCCTATTTTACAAAGAAATAGCTTAACAATTTAACACACTTAAGACAGCTACAAAAAAGCACTGTGCTAAAAGATTCACACAAATTTAGATTTAAGACTATTCATTAAAAACCTTTTTAAAACACTTGTTAATGTCAATAAACAAACTAAGGCCACACAACGCAAATAGTCCGCCAGGCAAATTATACATTTCATCTATATGCAAAGACCTCTTAGATAAATTAAAGCCACAGGAAAAAAAGTCTTAGCTGCCAATCAAAATGGAGTTTAGTCACAAAAAAACACTATTACATGAAAATTTACAACATGTGATAGAAGTAGTACATAAGTATTTCTTCAGAATTGAAAAGTGCTATATTAAGAGACAGTGGTCTCAACTACATGCACAAGTGGATCCTAAAAAATGTACGAAGAAAATGGAAGGCCATAATATTTACGGAGAGATACTTGCTTTTAAAGCAACAAACTTTCAGCACGAGGATAGTTCCTTTATATGCTAAAGCAAAACACCTCTTGTACATTTCTTCTACTTACTGCATGACCAATAAATACAGCTACAACCTGTTTAAAAAAATAAAACTTAGCAGAAATATGAACCTCTGGCATGTACTACTGAAAGGTTCTTTTTAAAAACCTGCAGCAATGACAAACAGATTTATTAGAAAGACACAAACTCAATTACCCTGAAGGTATAAACACAAATTTTTAATGGCAAATACAGATAAAAATATTTTGGGCTATTATTAATGATCAAGAATATAATCACTAAGAGTTTTCTTGAATTTTAGAGTCTGTTCCTAAATTAGCTTTCATTCTAGACAATATTTATAGAGGGAAAGGCAATAAGCAAAAGTTTCTTCAGTCATTAAGTGTGAACTTTATGCCTCTTAAAAGACTGATGCAAGATGATGCAAGACATATTTTCCTAAGGTTTAGTAAAGATTTCATTCAATAAGCTCCTTTTTCCTATATAAGAGCTTGTAATATTAGTCATCTGATATTCCAACTGTCTCTAAGGAGAAAGGGCAACTTTCAAAAGTCTTCAAAAATAATGAAGTACCAGTGAAACAAATGGTTAAGTGCTGAATAAGCAAATTAATAAATGTACAATTAAGCCCAGGAATTCCTTTTTAAAGAGTTAAAACTTTAGAGGGGGAAACTCATATGTAGGCTTTTATTATTATTGCTTTATGAATTTGGAATACCTCTTTAAATCCCACTCCTAGCATATCTTGGTATAATTATAGAATGACTTCTGGGGCAGAGGGAAGACTTTTATCCTTATTAATGAATATCATAAAACCATTCTAGTTACTAAGTTAGAAATACTCACATATTGTGTCTTTTCCGTAAGCACATTAAAAAAGATGTGCTCCACAAAATACTAAAACGTATAGCCACATTCTGCAAGTAATCTCAAAGAGTTGGCACAATAGATTAAGATACCAAAAAGGAAGATCAGCTTAAATTTCGGTTACAACTTCACTGCCATCAATACTGTAACAAATCAGAAGACGCCAGTTTGCTCCATGCCTCACTCCACCAAACCAAATAATTTAATGATTTAGAAAAGTTGCAATCATTTGTATCACTAAACTAGGATACAGCTTTGAAAGCAGTAAGAAACTCAAAACTTGGGCGTTTATACTCCTCAGTCTTTAAAGCATGCTATTAAAATCTAATACTCACTCACATAGGACATTCAGTTTCCAGATACATCACTAGCTAAATGTTTCTCTCTCCATCCTATTGTAATTCTAACATACAATGAATTTATTAGTACATGATTTTAAACATTTTTATACTCTTTTATTATGTTTTTATGGGAGGTGAGGGCAGAATGTTTCATTAAAGGAAAATGGGGATTTGCTTTCGATTGTAGGTCTTTGCAGATCCGCTGGTTCCTGAGTGATTAAACACAGTGCTGGCTGT